GGAAAAGAAAATGGAAACTCCTGTTCAATGCACAAGTCGGCTGGCGTGGTTGGAACTGTGGGATCTGGTGGCGCTGCTCGATGAGCACTAATAACATCAGTATTATGAATAATAGTAGTATATTAGTATTGATATTAATAGTGTGAAGAATAGTAGTATACGTTGGGGATTCAAGAGTTACTGTCACTCTGCAAGATTAATTCCAGTGACCTGCCAATCCTCCCAAGCAGAATCCCCTAAACTCAAAGCAAACAGAACCTTCAGATCTATGAAATCCTACAAACCCTAACGTCCAGCGCCATTTCATCAAGCACCTTGCCGCCCTCAACACCCTTGTCGGCCCCGGTGAAGATCACCTCCATGCAGCGAAAGGGTTTGAAAAAAAAGTACTGGCCTTTCTGAACTGGCAAACCCTAACTAAACTGTTTAGCAAGCTGATTTGCCAACTCCAAAAGGTAATATTTGAAAGCCGACAGGAAAATGGCGGATGAGATTCCAATTACTGTCATTGCGAGTCGGTCGGCTTCTTCTACGGCAACAATTACGGCCATGAGCACTTGTGTCCATCAGTATAGCTTCTCTTACTGCGACCACAAGGACAGCCAGCTTCGCGGAGCAAATCTACATCCTGCGCCTGAAGAACACATTTCAACGTAGATACTCCCAGATCAATGAGAGCTTGCACCTGCTTTGCGCCAGGTTTGAGCCCTGCTTCTTTGAGCAGGTCCGCAAGGCTGCAACCTTCTGCACAAGCAACGCTTCAAGTGCTTAAGGTGGTTTAGAGCTCAGTGTGTAGGGTTTAGGTGTCAGATCTAGGCTCTAGGTTTTAGTGTTCAAAGTGCAGGTCTTAAAGCAGTCTATGGTTTAGGGTTCACGGTGGTCTACTAGCCGCAAGGGGTAGATCTGCACTTGCTCGAAGCTCCTCGCAATCCCCGATGCTACAGTGCATGCCCCAACCAATGAACGTCTGGTTTGGTGGCCAGTGGGCAAGACTGCGGACACGAAGTCGCTGGGCAATTGGTGTCACGTCTTCATGGGCCAGCCTTGCTGTGTTCGCATTTTCAGCCTTATGCACCTTCGCGTCCCTGATGAGAACAACGAGATGAGATGACTAATTACGAGTAATACAGTTCTGTGAGGAAATCTTACTCCCCACGTTAAGTAATCGGTTAAGTAGAATATCCCTCGAAGCCATGCTCATACTTGGGCTTCAACCACAATTCTACTTGGGTTAAAGATACCCAGGGAACTCCAAGTACTCACTCAATCAGAGGGCTCTGAGCCGCAATCGATCGGGCTTCAGGTGGACCCATGGAAACAGCAATACCGGCAGTAGTAGTTTCCATGTTCTTGTCCNNCTAAAAAAACCCTATATAACCCCTAACTTACCTCAGTTCCAGAGCCGGCCTGTCCACTGGGCGCAGCCAAAAGAGTCCACACCCCAAGGGACGTGGGTCCAGAAGCGATGTTTTTGAGACATACGGCCCGTGCCTGAAGCAAGCTTAGGGTATAGGGGTTTAGCGTTTAGGGTTTTTCAGGACCATGGCTTGGAGGAGGATTTTCATGTTCAGACACTTTTTGAGTCCTGCAGATCTGGAATTGGGGGGAAGTGTTTGTCTGTGAAATCAGAGTCCCTTGGTGCCTCATCATTCTGCTTGCTCACTTTATTTGCGGTCGGCACTCTTTACAGGATCTTACTCCCTGGCAATCTAAGATTGTAATTGTGAAGGTGATGGTAGGAGTAGGTGTAATTTTTGCAAACACCATGTACCCGGGTTGTCATTTCAGGCCTTTGGATTTTCCAGTATCATAGAAGCCCAAAAAATTCCATAGACACATATATCAGGGTATACCCCTTTTAAGGCACCTAGGGTTTCCATTTCAT